ATCTCTAAGACGTTTCTTGAATACCAATAAAGATTCGGCATTTCTTATATTTGAAGGTAGTGAGTTCCATAACCTTACCGCGTGAACTGAAAAGGAGTGGGAGTAAAAACCGGAAGGAAAGTCAAGAAGAATTTTAACAAGAAATCGGCTTCTGAGGTATGTGGGAGAGGAAGGGTTGTGCAAAATGTTATAGAGGAGAAATAGCAGTCGAGTGTTCCTTCGAAATCGAATTGGGAGCCACTTGAGTTGCTTACGAAACTGAGATATACGGTCAAATTTCTTGAGCCCAAATATAAAACGGATACACTGATTTTGCAAGCGCTCAAGTTTATTAAGAAGCTCCTCTGTAGCATCCAAATAACAGGCATCTTCATAATCAAGGAGAGGTAGGATAAGAGTAAGCACGAGTGATACTTTAGCTTTAAGGGGTAAGAAATTTTGTAGACATTCCGTCTCCGTTATTTTATTAATTACAATATTCCAACGTTAATTACTTGTCGAATATCTAAGAATTCAAATATCTTAATAGATGAACATTTTGTTCATTTTACAGACTACTCTATTCTGATTACACTTCATTTTAGTAAGATCAAAGAGATACCCCTTTCTTAATTAGCTTAGACACAATTATTTCGAACCAAGAATCAAGGTCTCACCCTAAATATTTCAGTTATAAATTTTGTGTTGTATGTTTCTACTTATAAAGTTAAATCGCATCGAAATCATTTGTTCCGGGTATTCCAAATATATCTTCATATATAATTTCATAAATTCATATACTACATTAATGTTTCACATAATTTACATATTATTCATAATGTGCAACACCACGGGCACTGTTACTGTTGAAAAGCTTTCTAGACATGTAATGTAACATAATAAAAGATAACTTGATGGTAAAGCGACTAGTGACCACTGAATAGAATCCTTAGTTGGGCGATCTGAATCTTCGTACCCACTGTTTTCGTTGGTTAACTACCAGTGGAACATTGTCACTGGGATAGAGTTTTTGCCATGTCTGCCTTACCTCCGCAGTAAAGCAGCAAATAACGTAGACCTTATTATTTAATATTTTGTTACATAAACTAAACATCTGAGCTACCACGGCTCTTTTACATAAACTAATTGATATTACATTTTCTGATCCAAATTGTTTTTGCTATAATATCTTATTCATATTCCTTGTTTTAACAATTTACTAACATTAGTATTTTATGCATTAGGCACGATGCTAATTTCTTGTGATATTAAAACTTGGCCGTTTTTTTTCACTAGCTTTCAAAACATATAATAATCCCTCTATATCAGATGCTAAAAATTATATTGTTTATTTAGCAAACTAAGTGGCAAGGCAAGATTCTATGTGTGCCGATGTCACACCGACCGCAGACAATTATGTATTGATTTTCGACTCGCTAAGAAATAAATGCGAGAATAAACGAATGTTAGCTTCTTCATAATAACATAATAATATTTAAACGCAGTTAACAAAACTAACAAAGAATAACGTAATAAATATTTATGAAAAATATATAAACGCTATCTTATTGAAAAAGTTAATTAACCAGCAAGTTAACCAATGTCATTGATAGATGGTGCTGTAAAAATTATTTAATAGTTAAATTTTAAATAAGTAGGTTTGCTTATTTTTTTCTTTACCGCCGAGTACCTACAACATGGTAAATCAAATTTTCAAAGAGCTATTATTTTTTTTTGGTTTCGGCGAGGATTATACGAGTTTGACATTAGACATTTTATACTTCCCTTTTGCAGTTCCAAAAAGTTTCAAAATTTACATTGTCGTGAAATTAAAAATTTACATATAATAATTTGAGTTATTTTTAGATTATTCCTACTCGTACTTTTATAATTATCATATAATTTTTATTTTGCTGTAATAATAAATTAACTAAAACAACGCCGTAAAAGTCCATTACCGTAAGGAGGATTTTTCTTCGTTGTCACTCTTGGCAGATGAATCGACGATTACAGTACCTGTTTAGACGATTATATTTAGTTTATATAATGACGTTGGCGCCACAAGTCGAAAGAGCTTTAACTTGGTAGTATTGTAAATTTAAATTTGTATGAAAAATATGGAGAAAACCAATGTGATGTTTTCAACAAATAAAATATGACGAAAATTTTATGTGCAGTGTTTCAAAAAGTAGTGGTGTAAACAGTAATTTCAAAAAGTAGTGGTGTAAACAGTATCTATAGTTTTCTCATCTCTGACGCTGACGCACACGGTGAGATGATCTATTTACGAGATGGTTATACTGCTATCAGTCGAAAGTTTTAAGATATTTTGTTGAACTTTTCATTATCCCATGAATTGCCAAATGTAAAATGAAAAACGTTAATAATCTCTTAAATTATTATTTTTATTGCTAGGAGAAGTATACAGAGTTATTTGGCAATAAATGGCCAAATTTATAGAGGAGGTTCAGAATAAATAATATAGGTGAAGAAAAATTAATTAAAAAAAATCTCAAACATTCTGTCCTTATTATTTTTTTAATTTACTGCGTACGTACGCATTCGTATTATTCAATCGTAGGCAAAACGTTGTTGCCCATAAGAAAGTTTTTAAAGCGTTATAGGGGGTGTACTTGTTTGAGGACAATGGTTATTTAGGCGCAAAAAATTTCGAAATATGACTTTTAAACGAAAAGTGACATTAGGCATTTCTTGCACTCCCAGCGGACTCTAGAGGGGTGAATTACACAGTGTAGCTGTTTCTAATTTTTTTGAGCTATATTGCTCTAGGTATCTTGGGGCAAACCCTAGATTATATTATTAATTTAATTAGATAGCCTGGACTTAACGTGTCAATCATCTACCTTTTCATTATATAATAAATATAATAATTCAAAAATTACCTTTTAATAAAAAGTAAAAGACAACTTTTAGATTGAAGAACTTTAGAGTTTGAAATTATATAATTAATTTTAGTTCTTTGAAGTTAGGTTTTGCATTTTAATAAAGTAATGTTTTTTACCCTTCCGAGTGGACTTAGGAATATTACAATCACAATTATATGTTATACAATTAATTTTATTACATATAATGATTTTAAATTATATGCCATCAAAAACATTACTTGTAAAAAAAAACAAGTCTCGCAACTCAGTTCTTCTATCGTAAAAAGTTGTGAGATCCATGTAATACCAAGTCGGTTAATTTATTCAGTCCCTACTTAAGGGTCCTTCTGTATTAAGTTATTACGTAATTAGCTAACATAACAACATCTTGTTGTGACCATATCAATATTAAAAATCTTTTATATTTTAAATAAATAGATTGACTTGGGCCATCGAATGAAAATACAATGTATCTCACAAGTAATATGTATTATATTAAATTCGATTGCTTAGTGCGATTGCCAAGTCAATCTATTTATTTAACCCTTATTGAGTGACGAGGTACCCGGGTGCCTTTGGCATTTTCAAATTCTAAAAAAAGTATGTTTTACGCCCTATATGTAGCTGTGACTTCTTGAGAGCTCTTAAATATTTATAAATTACATATTTTTTAATGTTTTGACCAAGTATACTATTTACAATATTTTGTGGAAACCAAAACATATTTTAAACTCAGAATCAAGTAACGAGATACCCGGGTACCTCTTTGTGATTTGTGTGACTATGAGGAAAGTATTTTAAATTTCTCTCTTCTATATTTTTACCACACAGTTGTAGACTCAATGATTTCAAAAACTTTCTATGTCGGTCACTCGAGACCAATTGTGGGTTATGTTCCATGTAAATAATATATGCTGCCAAAGCTGCAATGTCAATGATATTGTAAAAAAGTGCTAAAGGCCACCGATTTGTTCTGCGTTTTACGGTATATTCTGCTAACAGCTTATCCATATTGTCCACTCCACTTTTGGTTTTATTATAATATAAAATTATTTCTGGCTTGGCAGTTTCCTTATTACTTAAAATAATTGGTGACATGTGCATTGATGACAACATTATTACTGCTTTATTCTTTTTAGGTACGTAAGACCACACAGTTTCTTCTTTGCTAAATGCGAAATTAGAAGAATAAACAGCCCTCTCCTTGTGTGCTTGCATGTTTGCAGGAAGAATCCGTTTATTTTTTCTTACCGTTCCAATTAGTGTCATATTCCACGAATTCAAGAAATGAGCCAGTTGAAACGACGTAAAAAAATTATCCGTAGTAACATTCAGCCCTGAATTTTTATATTTAGCCACCAGATCTAATACAGTGCATTCTCCTACATTTGTTTGACGTATGCCAACACTTAAATTTCCTGTATATATTTGTCCATTTAGGAGGTATGAATTACTTGCATCACAAGCCCAGAATATTTTTATGCCATACTTTTCAGGTTTTGATGGCATGTATTGAGTAAAGCGAGTCCGCCCACGATATCCATATAGCTGTTTGTCAACGGTAATAAATTCACAAGGCTGTAGTTTTTATTCAAATTTGAAATGAACATAGTCCAAATATCTCGTATAGCAGCGGCTTTATCAGCTAACAAACGTTCAGGGCGCGTTACATCATTATCAAACCTTATGAAGCGTAGCAGCATTTTGAATCTATCATGGGACATCGCAGCCCGAAATAATGGTAGGTAACTGGATTTCCACAGTTCAGTCAAATACTCATTATTAGATCTATGCACCACACTAAAAATTAGAATACCAAAAAATGCATCCAATTCTTGTTCTGTGAATGGTTTGAATATTTCGGTCGCTTGCTAATATGAGGGCAATTTTCCATCAGTTTATTATTGTATGCTTCAGTAATCTTTATCCCTTTCCGATTACTTTCCCTCAAGATTATGTCACACATTTCATGGGACAATATATTTTTGAATATTTCTATTTGAATGTAAAGTTTGCTGAACGATGCAGCCCCGCCCCGTTGACGAATAATATTTCTGCTACTAGTTTGTGTTATGGGAAGTTGTTCAGACTGCCACCGCATTCCATCCTTTGCGATAAGAATATTTTCAATTTCGATTACCCTTCAAAACTCGCATCGGAATCATAAGAATCAATCTCATTTTCGACTTCAGCTTCTGGCTCAACATCCGAAATTTCAAATCTACCCTCTTCAAGTAAAGGAATATAATCATGTTCATTATTAGAAGCAACAAACTCACCTTCGTCACTAGCAGATTCGGCTAGTATCTCTAGTAATTCTGTTGAATTATATCTTCGAACACGTGATCTTTGTTGAGAAGTACTTGCTCCAATATTCATAATGAAATAATTATAAACTTATAAAATACAAATATGCTCGTATAATAGAAACAAACGTATACAGTCAAATATCGAGTACGATGCACTGAATGGATTCAGTGTTTCTTCCGCGCCGATAACCATGTACCGCACTTCATCTCTCCTGCGCTTTTATCGCCACAGGTTGTCAACTGTTAAGCAAGTAGTACAAGCTTAGCTAAAGTAATAATATTTAAAGTATGTGTAACACAAAACTAGATCTTGATTGTTCACATTACCTATACACTGTATGAAGGTACCCGGGTACCTCGTCACTCTGTTAAAGGTGTTTTATTTGTCACTCACATAAGGGTTAAAACATAAAAGATTTTAATTTTGATATGGTCACAACAAGATGTTGTTATGTCAGCTAATTACGTAATAATTTAAAACAGAAGGACCCTTAAGTAGGGACTGAATAAATTAACCGACTTGGTATTACATGGATCTCACAACTTTTTACGATAGAAGAACTGAGTTGCGAGACTTGTTTTTTTTTACAGGTTATGTTTATGATGGCATCTCATTTCTACTTTTTTTCCTTCCGGTACATTTTACTTCTTGATTACCAACAAAGTACATATCTAGCTAGACCTTTTATTCCATTATATTATACATATACAGGTACACTGATTCATTCACTGCAAATGTAACTTTGTAATCCCATATCTTTATATGGTATTACAAAGTTATTAATGTAGTTAGTGTATCTAGAAAACTGGACCGTAAGTTAAAAATATTTTAGTTTTCCCTTGATTTATACACTACACACTAATTGTTTTCTAAGTTTCAAGCTTCTATGTCTACTAGAACTGCCTTAGAGTTTTGATGATCGGTCAGTCAGTGAGTTAAGAAACTTTGACTAATTATAATGCCAAAACTACTAGTTCAAATTGAATTAAATTTCAAATATACCTTGTCCATACAATGTATGCTTGGTTTCTGAAACTTCAGGTTTCTAGTACTATCCACAACAAAGTTATAGAAGGTCGAAAATGGCCTGAATTGCTTCGAGAAAAGTATGGTACGGCCGTGCCGCTTTTTTGCTCGACTTGGCGGGGGCACTACCGTGCCCCCAGAGACACGCATTACCAAAAAAGAAAAAATACACGTGGTTTTGATTTTTTCCTGCCTGGAAACACTACAATATGAAAAATCCTTTTAAAAAAATCAACTTTTTATGACATTGTGTGGCGCGAACGCCTATTAGTTAATATCGTATCTAAATAAATAAATTTTAGTTCATTTTTACTGAAATATTTCGTTTCCTTGATATTTTAAAATAGTATTATTGCTGTTTACCGGTCACAAAATAGTAGATAATGTGATAAATGTAAGCAAAACTGTTGCGCTGCAAGAGGAGGGTTGCAGCCAATGCTTCTTGGCTCATATGTTGAATGTGAGTCGTTTGATCGTTAGTTAATTCCATTTCTAGAGTCACGGACATTCCAGTTTTCTAGAGTCACGGACTCTAGAAAACTGTAATGTGTATCGTTTTCCAATGAAGCCAGGATATTTGTGTACATTAAAGACCGACGTCGGTTAGTGAGACCGCTTGGTAGGGCAGTAGGCATAAGAAATTTGAAGAAATCACACTTTATGGTGGGGACTCTGTTATGTTTTGGTCAGGAATAAATTCGTTAGATCATACAGAGTTAGTTTTCAAGCTCAAGGCAACAATTAATAATAATAAAGACCTCTAGACTGAATATCGGAAAGTCTCAACAGAGACTTGTTATCTGCACAGGACCAGATTATACTGTTTAAGTGTACATGCACAGACGTACTCTCTGTTCCCTCGCTTTTATTGTCCTTTTATATTTTATACAGCAAACCGAGATGACCGAAGAGAGATTAGGTGGAGAACCAATGGCTTTATTGTCTACTATCCGAGACACAGGGTTAAATAAGCCAAGCCGTGATAGCTCATGGTCTAAGCCCTATGCATAAATTTCGCAGTACGTCATGTTGGATCACAACCATTTTTAATTGCATATTTTCGTGCTGACTTATACGTGTTCCGTAATAAAGTAGAATATCGTGAGGATACCTTCATCTATGTTTATATATTTCAAAGATATGTCTAAACAAGGCATCATTAGAACAAATCGACAGCAATGGCTCACTCATTCATTAAGAAAAATGCATTATTACAACAACAGACTGCAGTGGCTCACTTCTAAGATTGAAATAATGAGCACACAGTTCACTCGACGGTTAGTAGATGCTGGAGCCCAAAGGCAACTACATCCATCCTTAAGAATCAAAAGCAGATGTTTTGTCAACCCAGAGGACTAAGATGTAATACCATACGAAACATAGTAGCATTGAGCTGTAATTTTCAGTGGTATTCTGTAAGATCTTGTTTTTTCCCCATTCCAGCGAATCCATTCATGCTACAACCATAATATAGCTGATGCATGGATCTACCAAGATAGGTGGCGCTGTAGTCAAGTTATTTATTAGCAAATTATGTATGTAAGGACTAAACTAATATTCACAAATATGTTGGTTAAAACCCAAAAAAAATAGAAATATGTTAACTAAAAGGTGGCTCATTTTAATTCTGATAAAAATAAAATGAAAACGGAAAACAATGAACGTTATTTTGCCAGAAGTATATCAATTACTTATCTTAACAAAATACCGACCAGGCAAGCAATGAATAAAGATAATAGTATTAAAAGCATGAATAAAAGTTGTTAAAGGTGAATTTTTATTTCGTTCATTATTAATTTCAACTGCAACTTGAATAGTCTAATGTAGTATAATGTCCTCCAGACCGAATTTCGGTGACGGCGGCCAGCCTCAACGGAGACTAACCATCGGCGCAGAACAGGATTATAGTATCGAAGTATATGCGCAAGCACAGACGCACTCCCTATTCCCTCACTTTCATAATACGATGGGCCAGTAAACCGATACGACCGGAAAGAGACCAGGTGCAGGACCAACGCCTTTACGTGCTTTTCCAAGCACGGGGATGAGACACTGCCAACTTTCTGACTTCGGGAAGCTACTGAGAATTTTTTGAAGGAAAACTCAATTATTGATATTTTGGCCCAATCCGGTATTTGAACCCAGGACCTCATGATCAGCAGTCTTCGACCTAATTAGATTTTGACGTCAATTAATCGAGCTGTTTTAAAGATATCAAAAAAATTGTTTCCAAGTTTGTTTTAAAAAGACGCCGCTTTGTTTAAAAAAATGCTTAAAAATGCCGCAAAGAAAATCAAAATCGAAAAACGTGTTCAAAAATTATAGCTATTTAAAAATCTCTAATAATTTTTTTTTAGAATTTTTAAATTCGATCTATCGGCTCAAGACCTGAAAAATAATATTTTGAAATTAAAAAAAACTGCGAATCAAATCGAATGACGCCAAAAAATCAAAATCGAACGAGTTGTTTAAAAGATCGATCTCGATTATTATGTGATTGGCAATAGCCCGAATGGCCCGGAGTCGAAATGGTTCAAATACATAGCAATCGCTCAAAGACTCATATTTGCACCGTGTATATAGTTCAGTCAAATTGTACATAATTACTACGTTTTAAATTCTGCTAGCTCTGAGCAGGTACTGTTCGTGATATTGTCAAATATCTGCTCGGAGGGGGGGGGGTGTCAAACACCAGGGCTCAACCACACTTTTAAGAGATCAAAGTCCCGCCGAATCTTTTACTAACATTTTGAAAATTCCAGTTATTTAAAAAGTATATAACACTGAATACCTAATACCGAAAACCGAGTACATTAATAACGACCAGAGTCCTTCAGATTTTGTTAAAAATTACACGTCAAGTGGACCAAGTGACATCTCATCTCATCGTCAAGTGGTCCAGGATGTCACTTGGTCCACTTGATTAGCCGGCTAAACATAGGTTTATCTTCGAGAACCAGCGAAAGTTCGATAATATGTTAGTTTGCGTCGTGATATTCCATCTTTATCCGGTTAATGTGTACATTAACCGAAACGAAACGGCTAAAAATGTTTTCGATGGGCACGCCGTGCTAGCGGAGGGCTTGAGAGGGCGGTGGGGGGACAACGCGCGCACACGTGACAATGTTTTGGTTTAGTATTGCGTCATCTTTCTTTGCGGTTGATCGCAGGTATACCTATTTGCAATGTCGGCGTTGCACAATCTCGAAAGGTTTAAAACGAAGTTTGACAGTAAGTTTAGTGAGTTACTAACATCAAAACGAACTGATAATAGTCGTTTACGCCAAATCGTGGCATCTTGAAGCTTGTAAGGCGCTCGTCCCGGGCGAGGAACCGGTTTGGTGGGTTGCGCGGGGGGGCATACGCTTTGCGCCTAGGGCGGTGCCAGCTAGTCTTTTTTTTTTTTTTTTTTTTTTGCGGATGGAAAATCATCTAATGACCCCTTTCGCTCTGGGTGGAGCGTAAGGGAGTGTCAGACTTTTACTGACTAAAAACCATCCGTGTTCCTTCAGTGCCCTTACGTTCCGGAGCCGCGGTATCTCTTTCGAACAGCCCGCAGCCCCGGCAGGCGTCGGCCCTTGCGGGCCCCTTCACGCTGCTGACAGCTCTTTGAGGCGCGCGTGGAACAAAACGCGCCGTCGACACGGCCTGTCGTCATTAGACGGACGGACGACGAGCTACCCATTGCTCGCCGTCCACAGGCCCGCGCCTACGGTGGCCGGGGGCCACGACGTAGCCCCCGACGCCCGGGGCGTCTCCCGCGGCGGCCGGGGAGGAAAGCTGCTGCTCTCTCCTTCTCCCGCTCCGCCACCTCCTTCGCTAGCATCACTGCTTCGCAGAAAGTGGTGACGGCATCCCATTCCGTCTCGCTCCGGACCATGGCTTCGACCAGGGCCGGACGCGAGAGGTCGCCGCCGCCTATCGCCGCTACGAGGACACGGCGGTGCTCCGCCCAAGCAGGGCACACCTCCACGGTGTGTTCCACCGTGTCCTCCGGTCCATCCTCGCAGTGGGAGCACCCGGGCGTTTCCTCCCGCCCGATTCGGTGCAGGAACCTCCCAAACACACCGTGTCCGGTGAGGACCTGCGTCAGACGGAAGGTGAGGATGCCGTGGCGTCTCTCAAGCCACTCCTCAAAGAGGGGTCTTATCGCCGCTATAGTGGCGTGCCCAGTGCCAGCTAGTCTGGAAGAATCTTTATGCGCTACGGCCGTGCCGGTGGGAGGTCGGGAAATTAGTCTAGAATATTCGGTTGTACGCGAGTTCCGACAGCGCCCACTGTAGTGATTGTGCCTTGTGGAGCAGAGCAACGCATGTGGTTCTGCTGAACGATTACCTCAGTGACGTCAGGTTACATTACACACTTTCCTACACCACTCACACTTACCATTTACTTACCCCCGACGGTACCTTGTGGTCGAAACTACTTCCGGAACTCGGTAAGTTTGTGTTTGCTTATACAACCGTTATAAATTAATTATCCATAGGCCATTTGGGCCCGTACCCTTGGTTGCTCGTCGAGTTGGGCTACTGATGGGTCCTAGTCCAGTCGACTTTTGTCGGGAAACTGAGGACCGCAACATTTTCTGGTAGCAAAGCATGGTTGAATGTTTCTACAATCACGCCCGGTCGTAATATTTATTTTTTTGCTTTGTTAGCGGATCGGTGGTCAGAACCACGCCCGTTAGGCCACGCAAGCGGAGTGTAGTTTAGAGTAAGGTACCTACGCGTCAGGTATTTCGGGTAAAAGATTAAATTGCCGAAGGGTGGGTCGCCTGCGTGAGGTATCTTTGTTGACCAACTGTAGTGTGTATTTGCAGTGTAGTGTAATTGTATTTAATTTAATTTAGTAGTAATTTTTATTTAGTAGTTATGCCATCGCACAAGCCACCGGCGCTTCGCCTGCAGGCGGAGCTGCGCTGGGCCGCGAATGCCCAGACCTTGATAGGGCGACCCGATCGGGTCCATAGTTTAGAGAAGCGGCTCGAGCAGGTCATGGCCCGAAGGGCCGTAGTGGAGGAGGCTTACATTGAGCTTTTGGCCTCGGATATGGAACAGGGAGTCCTAGACTCCTGCCTCGCGGACTACGAGCAATTCTTTTCGCTCACGGACGACTTGATCGAGGCGGGGGCTAAGTATGATAATAAAGCGCGTGAAGCTCGGCTGAGTGGCCTGCTCGAGTCCCCTCGTAAGCAGTCTACTCAGACGGAGCTGTTGGGACGACTCCCAACTCTGGACCTGCCAAGGTTCTCCGGGGTCGTCTCCGACTGGCTGACCTTTGTTGGCCTTTTTGACAGCCTAGTGGACGCCCGGCGGGACTTGACACCAACCCAGGAGATGGTGCACCTCCTGGCCTCACTGGAGGGGGAGGGGCCTGGGCGTCGTCGCCTATTTGAAATTGTTGGAAGACGCCTATCAGACCGCCCGGGACCCCCTCTGGACGCTACGCCAACGTCCGGCAAATTGCGGACGAGTACGTTAGGCAGCTTCTAAACCTCCCGCTGCTTAGGGACCGGTCCAGACATCGTCCGGACATCGTAAATCCAGTCGTAGCCTGTAATTCTTTGAGGCGGCTGGATTTACCGGTGGACGAATGGTCCTTCTTGTTGCTCCACATCGTGCTGTCCCGCCTGCCTCTCGTTCGTCGGATCCATTTTGAGAAGAGTTACGGCGGGGACGGTGCCTCCTATATTCCACCCTTCAGGGACCTGCTGCGGTTCTTGGAGGAACAGTGCCGGCAAATCGTGTACGCAGCGGGCACCGTCGACGAACTACGGGTTGCCGACCGAGCCGTGCCCAGGGGAGGTGGAATCCACCGGGCAAGTCGTCGCCAACCCCCAAAGACCGAGCGGAGCTCCCGCGGGAGGGCGCCGCCCTCTACCATCTTATAGCGGCCTAGCGGCCAGGGAGCTCCCCCCTGCTCCTATTGTCGAGCATCCGATCATGTTGAGCCCGAAGCTATTGGGTAAGCCAGTCCCGGCGAGGCGAGCCAAAAATTATGGGAAATTAGTCTAGAATATTCGGTAACATAGTTTTTATTTGAGTGATGAACAGTACGATAATGTAATTCAAGAATTCAGGTCAGCAAAACTCGCCGCTAAGTGTTCAACATTCCAGTATCGACGATCAAAAAGATTTGATGTTTGCACTATGGGCGGCATAGAAAAGCTAATAGCAGGCAGGACAAGGCAATAGCATCTTATATTATGTGTAAAATTCAGACCTGTTTGATGTGTTGCAAACCATTCACATTGATACGGGTCATAGTGGGCAGAATCGCATAATAAATGAATCAAAAAAAGTACAAGAATGTGACACAAGAAGGAATATTATTGTATTTAAGTTTATGTGAATTCTGTCAAATGAAATTAAAAACTAACAAGAAAGGAAGGAATCGTCAAACCAATAATATCTTCCAAAATGAACAGCAGGTGTCAAGTTGATTTTATTGACATGCAGAGCAGTCTAGATGGTGAATTTAAATTTATTTTAGTTTACTAGGATCATTTAACTAAATTTGTTCTAATTTACTCTCTACGTATAAAAACGGCAGCGGAGGTATCAAACGTGCTTCTTGACATATTTTATCTATTTGGCACACCATCAATTATAAAAACTAATAATGTGCGCGAGTTTGCGAACAGCGTTATAGCGGAATTATGCAGTAAGTAGTCAGGCTTGAAGATGGTACACGGCAAACCTCGACATAGCCAATCGCAAGGCAGTGTTGAACGTGCCAAACAGGATATTCAAAACAACTTGATGACGTGGATGAGTGATGTAAAATCCTCAAAATGGTCGGAGGGTCTTAAATTTGTACAACTAAATAAAAATTTAGCTTATCACGACGGCATCAAGAGAACACCCTACAAAGCGATGTTTGGAAGTGAAATAAAAGTGGGTTTAAAGTCATCGTATTTGCCTCATGAAGTAACAAACCATCTAACAACGGAAGAAGACCTACAAGAAGTGATAGATAACTTTATGGAAAATGACTTGAACGATGAACAACAGACCTCCGAAATTCATACCTCAGAAATTACCCTTTGTGAAGAACATGGCATTTTAATTGACGACATGACATGCCCTCTGTATTCAAAAGAAGCAGATATTGAACATAATCGTTCAGAAGCGAAATTAAATTTAGAGTACAAAGCCATTAAAATGAAACAAAATTCCGCTGCAAAGTTTCCAGAATGTCATAAAGGCGATACAGTAAAAGTAAAGATACCGGAAATAGATCGAGGCCGAGGCGATTTTAGGAACATTTTATTGACCGTCTTAGATACAATTTAAGACGGACTTTATAAATTGGGCAACGAAAACGGTACGATCGAACAGTTTTTTTCATGAAAACAGTTTACAGTTTGTGAAAAAAAATTCGTAGATTTGAAAAAAGTGTCGTTTTTGAAAATGACTATTCGCCATCTTGCTAATGAACAGTCAACATCAGGTGGACAAGGCTTTCAAAGATGTCATTGCAAGACAAAATGTGGTACACGTAAATGCCGCTGCCGAATAAAAAATGTTCTTTGTAATTCGAAATGCCATTCTAGTTCATCATGTGTCACAAGAATAGTGACTAGATATTGCTTTAAGTAATTAACACTGAAAAAGTTTTATTTTGTAATTTTGTTTTATTTTGTAATTTTAAATACCTACAGAAGATTATGTTATGACCAAATGGTTCCTTATTATTTTATATTAATGATTAGGTAGATATTGTTTTAAGTAATTTATATTTTTTAATTGAAATAATTGTAATTTTGAATATCTACATAGGTATATAAAAGTATGTGTAATGAGAGTGATTATTTTTTAATAAAAGTTTTCTTTTTCCATTTCCTTCTACATTTTAACCAAGGGCCTGCAGTTACACTTAAGTTTAGCCGGCTAATTTTAAGTTTATGTTCACACCTACCACTTTAGCCATAACATATATATATATATATATATATATATATATATATATATATATATATATAAACCCGAAAAATTAAACAGGGTAAAATTATATACAGGTAAAAAATTACAGCAGCATTAAGCACAAAATAGCAGCTTAATGCTGCTGTAATTCGTATGGTGAGTGCAGAGAACCGGAAACCTTTTTTATGGAAACGAGGCGTATTGTCTTAGTTCTCAGTGGTGACAACGCATCTACATTTTTATTATTAGTGCCGATTTCACCAACGACTTCGTTGTCTTAGATTAACTAACCCGATATTAAAGATATTTCGTACTTTTACTCTCAGATAACTTACTGTACATTTCACAACACAACACAACAGATAAGTTAGCCTCAGATTAACTATTCTTTCGAATAACGGTTTTACTTATCTGTGGAAGACTATTTAAATGAGCAAGTGAATGATTGTATAAAGAAAACAAATTAAGTATATCATTGCTTTCCTTCTCGGCAAGGTACACAACAAACTTTTTAATTTAGCAGGGTTATACTTCAGTTTGATGCAGATTCATTTTAATCAACTGTTGATAGACGTTGTATTTTTCCTCGCTTTTTTGTTATTTCAATATCAATTTTAATTAATAATGTCGGACAGAAAACGCAGTCCTAACTGGCAAATGTCAGAAAAGATGTTGCTTGTGGATTTAGTGGCTGAACATTTCAGTGTAGTAGAAAATAAGCGTTACATACTGTTACTATGAAACAGAAAAATGCGGAGTGGGTAAAAATATCGGAAGAATTTAATTCACAAACTACTTTTGGATATAGGACTGCAGAAAACGTAAAAGCACAGTGGGAAAGTCTGAAAAAATCCACCGAAAAAGAATCGTCTGCTGAAAGGCAAAGCTTGATTCAAATAGGTAATAATCTTCATATCTACGTGCTACTTACGAAGATAAAGCTGTAACTATTGATACCATGTTAATACCTATGGAATTTTTGTGATATCCTTGACATTACTTTATGTTTTTTATATCTAATATTTAATATTTTGTTCAGGTGGCGGACCTGCAAAGCCGAAGCTTGAGGACAACCCACTATACAGAAAAATCTTGGCTATGATATCTACGACGGTAGTTGGACTGGTAAATGAATATGACAGTGATAACATGAGCAATAATCATGTTATCATTGAAGAGATTCCTAGCAACACATTGGCTTCCACTAAAGGTACACACAATTCAATATCTTGGTATAATTGTTGATGATAAGCTTAATTGGGCTCCACATATTTCTTTTATTTCTAACAAAATCAGAAAGTTTATCTATTTATATCTTTAAGTATTTAAAAACAGTTGCAAACACAAATCTATTACTACAAATATACAAAGCTTTGTGCCAGAGCGTTATTAGTTATTGCATATGTTCTTGGGGATGCGCTGCTAAAACACATCTTATAGAATTAGAGCGAGCTCAAAGGGCTGTACTAAAAGCTATCGCTTCCTTATAGATATTTGACAGAAATGGTTATTACTCGTATATGTCAATGTCTTAGACGCTTTCATAGATGTAGTGTTCCGCAAATACAAAATTCAAAAAGAACTACGTATAAGTATCCCCAAAGTTAAATCCATATTCGGCAAAAGGAATTATAATTACGTAGCTCCCAAGTTATACAATATACTAAATAAAACAGTGTGCACAAAAAAAAGGCTTCAAATCACACATTTAAAAGAATGTATATAACTTTTTTAAAAGAATGAATATAACTGGCTTAAAGAATGTGACTATAATAAATCCGAAAATTTAATAGCTCCATATGAATGTGCAGTGCAACAAACACGCTACAACACCACAACACACAACACACACACACACACACACACACACACACACACACACACACACACACACACACACACACACACACACACACACACACACACACACACACACACACACACACAACACACACACACACACACACACACACACACACACTAATAAGACGAATAACTCCGTAATCCATCAGAATCGGGAGTATAAATTGGTTAACTATTTATTCTTGGGTTAAATTGTAGGTGAAATGTAAAACTTGATATCCTAGAATAACTTATATCATTACTCTTGGAATAAAACTTATCTGAGTTTGGTGAAATCGGCCCTTAATTGATTAAAATGTCCTATGGACCACAGCATTCACTCACTATCAGGTGGATTGTGTGATCATATGTCAACCTTATTCTATAAAAAGGATAAACTAATTGCACATAATAAAATTGTTTAATTAAATTTGAATATTAGTCAATGAAAATAAATTGATAAAAAACATAACACAAAACTAAAGTATCGGAATAATATAATAATGAGACTGTATGTTTTTAAATGTGTACATATAAGTAAAATTGAAGTGTTTGTCTATAATATTTAAATAAGTGACTTGCAATAAGCTCAGGGGGTTGTTTGAATGCTACTAAGATATAAATAAAAAAAAATCTGTAAGTCTGTCTAGGCTATGGATAATCTGTTTGAAGCGGAAATCCCCTTCCGGAGCCATTCAGTAAAGTAAATGAGAGGGTTCAGAGAAAGGCAGAACCAGGTTGGACTTAAATAGTCGCCCTGGAAGTTACCGCACCCCTTCTTATCTTTATGTAGTTCTCCGCAGCCGAAATCCGCTCACATAGACGACAAAGATTCGTAATAATTTGCCCCATACACTGCTCGAGGATGTCTTTATTTTTTTACCTTGTACAGTTCGGACAGAGACCCTCTTCAGCTATCTATGAGGCACCGAATAAGATGCCTTTCTGTTGTTTATTCATGCGGTGGAGAGGTTCTGACAGTCGGTTAAAATTTTTAATGCTGGTTTACCAATTGCTCGGGGGTGAACGCATAAATAGTGAGTATATCTAAGATAATATATTGATATACACAAAACAATACCTGTCATACCCAGGCTGGTTATAAAAATATTCTATCAATTTCTTAAAATTAAGACATTAATTTCTAAGTCTACTTTAAGTTATAATTGTAAAGAAATAATTGCCATAATGAATAAATTGAATAGATCATTAATTTAAAGATGTGTTCAGTAGCATATGAAAATTAAATAATATGTTTAAGTGCTAGAAGACTGTTTCAGTCACTATAAACATAGTTAACGACATATTAATGCTGATGAATCCAAGCATGACCCTTTTAATTAATACAATGATTGGAAATGTTATCTGTAAACATAACACGTATTAGATTTACTGTTCGAGATCGAAATACTAAAAGAGAATTGTTTTACTTCTAACATATTTTATTTCCAATATGTTACCCCACGGCATTATAAAGAATGTATGAAGATATTTCTAGCAGATAAAATTATAATCATAACTTGTAATTTTTAATAAATATCTTATATTTTCCCAAGAAGATTTAAAATTTTCCATTTATTCATCTATCCTTACGTGCAGAGGCATATACACAAATACACATAAACACTCTCTCACTCATAGCCACAGGCATAATACCAGGTATACGAAAAAATAAAATGCACTGGCTGTGTTATTCGTGTTTTTAATTCGTGTATATAACAATGGTTGTATATTTTTGATTATGAATATAGTTAATACAATTTTTGTTATATTTTTAAAGGCAACACAAACACATAATCCGAGCAAGAGACGAACTTACGGCTGAGCAGCACCGTAGCCAAACGCATAGCCATTGTGCCACCGAATCTTCTTGTATTCTTGTCTTTTGTTATTTGTCTTACTAGCGACTCGCTTTGCCTGGGTAGGACCTATTAATGTGGTATTATTTAGATTTAAGATAATCATAAAAAAAAAAATATTTTATACATTTTTCGACTTCTTAAAAAATATCCAATATTTTTGAATAGAATTAAGCCTCTGGATCATTCTTGGTATTGTTCTCTATCTTTTGTCAAGTTTCTCTATCTGTGTCAAGTGACAGGCATACATACAGACAAAGCTTTAAAAATGGTTATTCATGTCAATGTCATGCAAATGACACACGTCTCAATAAAAGGTAATTATTTGGATATTGCAGGCATACACTTTAATTTTATTTGTATATTTAGTTTAGATTAGCGACCAGCTTTGCCTGGGTGGGATCTATTAATCTCCCGTTATTGGGATTTAAGATAATTATCTAAGACCATATATTTGTTAAATTTTTAGATTTAAAAAATCCATATAAGATTACCTAGCTTACTAGCCTAGATCATTTCTGGCATTGCTCTTTACCTGTTCGTGAAATTTCAAAATGGCTGGACCAGCCACTTTGCAGATAAGCCCAGATTGAAAGACAGACCGACACATTTTTTTAAAGATTCATATCTTAGTTGCAAAAAAATATATATATATATATATATATATATATATATATATATATGTCTTTGAGATTAACAAAAGGCAGTTTTTTCGATTTAACCAACAGATATTTCAATTTTATTTATATGTACATATAAATAAAATTGAAATATCTGTAAATATTTTATTTAGGAAGAGCGCCCTTAAGTTTTCATATGTTAAACAAAATTTTTCCATGACGGCTTATCAAAAGTCCACTGTTAAACATAATATATATAGTTGCCACGCACTGCAGGTGGGTTGATAACCTCAATTTTTATAGAAAACAAATCTTATCTCTTTCGACGATGATGTGGGATGACGGGATGATGTGGGATAGTATTCTTATATAACGACTACGCAGTCACAAATTCTTTTCTTAATTTAGTTAATTAATATGTTTATTTTTGATTTACGGTTCGTACTGGATATATTATTTACATGACTGCCTCGTTGGTCTAGTGGTTGTAGTAGTGCGACTGCTGATCATGAGGTCCTGGGTTCGAATCCCGGGTCGGGCACAAAATCAAATATTGAGTTTTTCTGTCAAGAAATTCTAAGTAGTTGCCCGGAGTCAGGAAGTTGGCGGTGTTACACGCCCGTGCCTCGGAAAGTACTTAAAGCCGTCGGTCGTGTGCTTGATCTTTCTGCGGTCGTGTCACTTTACCGTCCAATCGGATTATGAAAGTGAGGGAATAGAGAGTGCACCTGTGCTTGCGCATACACTTAGGCACTATACTCCTGTCCTGCGCCGATGGCTAGCCTCCGTTAAAGCTGGCCGCCGTGGCCGAAATTCAGTCTGGAGGACATTATTATTATTTGGGGTATCTATATAATTTTCTCACCTGGTTGGGTTCTATAAATATATAACTATAAATTAAAATTAAAAGATATATGTACATAAATATCAATAAAATAAAATAAATACAAAAACTACATAAATAAATAAGGTCCAACCAGATGGGAGCCCTCGGCAGGGGAGACCAAACGGCCGAGGGTTAGGGGGAAAGGGAAAGAAACCGGCGGACGATGCGGGCGGGATCGAGGAGCAGCGCCTTCTGCATTTGAGCCCGGAGCGGAGAGGAATTTCGGTCGGCAGACCACCCCACATGTCGGTCACCTCGTGAGCCAGGTCCAGATATTTTGTTCGTTTCTCTGTTTCGGCTTTCACGAGGTTCTCGTCATACGGAATGGTAATGTCGATCAAAAATATCCTTGACTGTGCCCGGTCCATCAGCACAATATCAGGCTTATTCGCAAGAATAGTCCCGTCTGTGATGATGGCCCGGTCCCAGTAGAGCTTGGCGCGGTCATTTTCGAGCACGGCTTCCGGCAAGTACTTGTAATACGGCAATTTTCGATCTACGAGACCGTATTTCAGAGCGAGCTCCTGGTGTAGAATTCTGGCTACTAGGTTGTGCCTGTGCAAGTACTCAGAGTTAGAAAGCGCCGAACAACCGGAGATAACATGCCTAAGTGACTCACCGGGATGGCGACAAGCTCGACAGACGTCGACGGTGCCATCCTTTAGGATGTATCTCCGATAGTTGTTGGTCTTAATAACCTGATCCTGTATTGCACAGACAAAATCCTCGGATTCCCCGAAGAGATCACCAAAGCGTAGCCAGTGGAGGGAGGCTACTGTGTCTACGAAAGGCTCATGTAGAGCCTTGTAGAACCTCCCGTGGAGCTCCTTCTCTTTCCATACGGTCTCCCGGTCGGAAATGCTCTGCACTGCCGGGTCTTGCCATTGCTCGTTGGCTAAGGATAGAGGGGTAAGTCCTTTATCACAAGAAATGACGTCCTTATAGAATGGATCATCCGATCTCGCCAGGAAGTAATCACGGAGGCTGCACACTTCGCGATTATGCATGGTGAGGGCGCCCAACAAGCCACGACCACCATGCTTCCGCGGCAAGTACAGCCTCATTACCGACGATCTCGGATGATGCATTCTATGGGACGTCATGGTAGTGCGGACTTTTCTATCCAGGGCGTTAAGTTCAGTCTGAGTCCACCTGAGTATGCCAAAGGTATACATGAGGACAGGCGTGACCCAGCCGTTATATGCGTGTGCCTTATTCACACCGGACAAAAGGCTGTTAAGCACTTAGGTCAAGCGTGCATAAAACACGTCGCAAACTGACTGTTTCATACCAGTCTCATCGATACCGATGTTTTGTGACATACCCAGGTATCGGTATGTTTCAGCCTCGGAAAGGGTCCTTAAGTTGACGGGCATGGATATGTCTACGCCCTCAGAGTTAGCAACCCTTCCCCTTTCAACATGGAGGACCGCACACTTATCCGTCCCAAGCTCCATTCCAATGGAATTGCTAAATTCACAAGTGATGTTTAGCAATTCCATAAGATGGGAGCGACTGGAGGCGAATAACTTGAGGTCATCCATATAGAAAAGGTGGGTCACTTTTGTCCCTCCTTTCCGTAGCTGAAATCCCCCCTCCCGGAGCCCTCCAGTAAGGTACTGAGAGGGTTCAGAGAGAGGCAGAACCAGATTGGACTCAGACAATCGCCCTGGAAGATACCCCTTCTTATCCTTCTGTGGTTCTCCGCAGCCATCATCCGCTCACTCAGATGACAAAGGATCGTACTCCACTGCCCCATACACTGCTCGAGGAAGTCTCTCACTGCACAGTCTATCTTGTACAGCTCGAGGACTCTCTTTAGCCATGTATGGGGCACCGAGTCGAATGCCTTTCTGTAGTCTATCCAGGCGGCGGAGAAGTTCCGACGGTTGCGTTTCACCACTTTGCCAATGACCGCGTCAATGAGGAGTGGTTCCTTGGTTCCACGACCACCGCCCCGACATCCATTTTGAGCGCGTGACATCACCTGATTTGAGTCCAGGTGACAAGTGATTCTCGCGCTCAAAATGGATGTTAGTGTCTTGTATATGGTCGGTAGACACGTGATGGGGCGGTATTTGCTCGGGTCTGTGGTACCCTAGTCTTTAGGAACCAAATGAGTGATCCCAGTAGTGAAGAGGCTTGGGAGCGACTTCTGGTTGAGAGCCTCTTGAAACTGTCGGGCGAGCACAGAGTGACACACCATGAACCCCTTCAGCCAGTAGTGATGCAGTCCGTCGAGTCCCGGACTTTTTCAGTTCGGGGCCCTACGGACCGCCTCAGCTACGGCATCCGGCGTTATGATGACGGGGTCCATGGGCGTAATACCTGCACACTGACTCGCCACAACTTCCGTCCAAGGGCCCTCGCTGTGATTTACGGGCTCTGACCACAGGCTGCGCCAGAATGCTACAGTGTCGGCCTGATTCGATGCTGGACCCGTTCCACTTACCATTGGTCGCTCCAATGATTCATAGAGCCTCTTCTGATCACTCTGGAAGAGACGATTCTGATTGAACCGTGTCGACCTCTCGGTATATCGCCGAATCCGCTTTCCCCAAGCAGCGATTCTCTGCTTCAGATCATCTATGCGCTCCGTCAGTTTTTGCGTTATATCCGGCTGGGACAAACTGACATTTGTCCCAGCAAACGCCATCCTGACGGTGCGCACAATTCTTGGCCTGTTGTTGCCTGATCTGAAGCATATCAGTCTACCGATGAGCGCTCTAGCCTTTGCGATACGTTCCTCAATTCTTCTTCTCCATGCTGGGATAGCGCTACTATGGCCAGTAGCGCGTCCAGCCGTGAAAACCTTGGCGCCTACGATACGGCAGACTGCCAGCGTGGCGCCAAAAAGAATTGATTCCGTCTCGCAAAGGTCCCGGCTGGCTTCCAAATAGGTCACCAGCATTGGGTTCAGAGCCCTCACGATAGCCCGATTCCGCTTGCTTAGGGCTATGCGGGGAAGTCGCGGTCGATTTTCGAGAGGCGTACTGCGCGTTTCCACAATCGCCTCTTCCAATGTACTCCTCATATGTTCTAATTCCAGTTCCTGGGCGACTGTTCCATCATCGTATGAATCAACCACAACTGGGGTATTCACGGCGGCATCCACGTTTGCGGGTTACTCTACCATTTGTGGCGCCGCATCCTCAGCCGTAGCATTCTCATCCGACGAGGGAATAGCCTCACGTCGTAGCCGTTCGAGTTCGGCGACATCAAATATATTTGAGCGCAAGATATACCGAACTCGGTCTGCCAGGTTTTGCTCTGTGACGGTTAAAGATGGCTCCAGCTCAGCAAAAAGACGATGCATCCTAGCCCGATACGCCAAACATCCAGTTTCTTCCCCTTTTGCCCTAAAGTACGCCCGCAGTGCGTTTGCATTCATTGCTTGTGACCAACGCATGCGACGTGCTCCACCTGCGGCGGGTGCCGCTTGCTGAGTCCGAGAAGACCCAGCCGACACCAAGCCTTCTGGTGGGGATGATGGATGCGGAGGGCTGCTAGGAGGGCAGCTCCTCGCGCTCGGCTGGCGGCCCGCATGCTGCCGCGTCCAGCGCCAGCTCCAGACGAGCCCCGGCGACCCCCAGGCAGCGGCCCTTTGCGCACTATCTTCTTATCCATCATCCATTATTTGGGCGTCCATTAACGGGAGACGCCCAGGCCCGGCACCGTTTCCTGTGTAGCCATAAGCACAAACGGGCCTCTGCACCCTAAATTCTGTCGAGGCACGGCGCTCACACCTCTCGCAAGGCGCTGACTGACTGCGTTGACGTAGCAGTTTTGTCACTTAACTGTTACGTCAGCGGGCGATGGGGTCGTTAATTCCCTACGCCTATTATTATTATTATTATTATTATTTACGGTAAGTGTTTTCACTTCTCAGCTCTAGGCTGGATTTCAACTACATTTACGGGCCGAAGCCAAAACAAATGCAGCGTGTGGTGTGTAGTGTATTTCATGTGATTTGATGAGGTCCTATTTCGTTTTTATATTATTATTATTATGGGGTATCTATATAGTTTTCTCATCTGGTTGGGTTCTATAAATATATAATTATAAATGAAAATGAAAAAATAAATACACATAAATATCAATAACATAAAATAAATATAAAAGTACATAAATAAATAAAAGCCCAACCAGATGGAGGCCCTCGGCAGGGGAGACCAAACGGCCGAGGGTTAGGGGGAAAGGGAAAGAAACCGGCGGACGATGCGAGCGGTATCGAGGAGCACCGCCTTCTGCATTTGAACCTGGAGCGGTCCGCCACGTAGTCCCAGCCGCCTCAGATGACCCGAGAGGCTGACTGGGATTAGCCCGTTTGCAGAGACGACTACAGGAATAATTTCGGTCGGCAGACCACCCCACATGTCGGTCACCTCGTGAGCCAGGTCCAGATATTTTGTTTGCTTGTCTGTTTCGGCTTTCGGATTCGGATTCGGTTCTCGTCATACGGAATGGTAATGTCGACCAAAAATATCCTTGACTGTGCCCGGTCCATCAGCACAATATCAGGCTTATTCGCAAGAATAGTCCTGTCTGTGATGATGGCCCGGTCCCAATAGAGCCTGGCGCGATCATTTTCGAGCACGGCTTCCGGCAAGTACTTGTAGTACGGCAATTTCCGGTCCACGAGACCGTATTTCAGAGCGAGCTCCTGGTGTAGAATTCTGGCTACTAGGTTGTGCCTGTGCAAGTACTCAGAGTTAGAAAGCGCCGAACAACCGGAGATAACATGCCTAAGTGACTCACCGGGATGGCGACAAGCTCGACAGATGTCGACGGTGCCATCCTTTAGGATGTATCTCCGATAGTTGTTGGTCTTAATAACCTGATCCTGTATTGCACAGACAAAACCCTCGGTTTCCCCGAAGAGATCACCAAAGCGTAGCCAGTGGAGGGAGGCTACTGTGTCTACGAAAGGCTCATGTAGAGCCGTGTAGAACCTCCCGTGGAGCTCCTTCTTCTTCCATACGGTCTCTCGGTCGGAAATGCTCTGCACTGCCGGGTCTTGCCATTGCTCGTTGGCTAAGGATAGAGGGGTAAGTCCTTTATCACAAGAAATGACGTCCATATAGAATGGATCATCCGATCTCGCCAGAAAGTAATCACGGAGGCTGCACACTTCGCGATTATGCATGGTGAGCGCGCTCAAGAAGCCACGACCACCATGCTTCCGCGACAAGTACAACCTCATTACCGACGATCTCGGATGATGCATCCTATGGGACGTCATGGTAGTGCGGACTTTTCTATCCAGGGCGTTAAGTTCAGTCTGAGTCCACCTGAGTATGCCACAGGTATACATGAGGACAGGCATGACCCAGCCGTTATATGCGTGTGCCTTATTCACACCGGACAAAAGGCTGTTAAGCACTTTGGTCAAGCGTGCATAAAACACGTCGCAAACTGACTGTTTCATACCAGTCTCATCGATACCGATGTTTTGTGACATACCCAGGTATCGGTATGTTTCAGCCTCGGAAAGGGTCCTTAAGTTGACGGGCATGGATAAGTCTACGCCCTCAGAGTTAGCAACCCTTCCCCTTTCAACATGGAGGACCGCACACTTATCCGTCCCAAGCTCCATTCCAATGGAATTGCTAAATTCACAAGTGATGTTTAGCAATTCCATAAGATGGGAGCGACTGGAGGCGAATAACTTGAGGTCATCCATATAGAAAAGGTGGGTCACTTTTTGTCCCTCCTCTCCGTAGCTGAAATCCCCTCCCCTCCCCTTATTATTATTATTATTATTATTATTATTTACATTAGAAACTTTTTTGTATCCTTGATGAAATAAGTAATTTCCACAACATTTATACGCGTTATGAATCTAAACGAGGTAAAGTTCAAAAAAATACTTTCAACGTAAAGGTATTTTAGAGTCTCTTTTGAACTTATGCTTATCGTTTTAAATTTCTTAATCAAATTACATTGCATGGTGTTTAGACTTTACACGCTCATGTAGGCGGCAATCAATTCCATCAATCATGATTGATAAAAAACGGATAAGGCGCTGTCCTATTGCCATCGCTCGTGCGATCATGCGTTGCGTCCGAAGAAAATGATCGTTGGACCGAGCGCTTAAACATACTCATATCTGCGGCATGTCCTATTGAACGTTGTGCGATCATGCTGTAACGCTCCCCCTCCCCTTATCGCTCATATAAATGTATAAATATATTAAATATGAAATTAATTTAGCCCTTTTCAATAACATTATATATTTGTGACCAGAATAAATAAAATATCTTTTGATCTTTCTAAATGATCTTTCAAAAGGTTTAATAATAGGCCGTTTGTAATATTTTGGCGTGATCGTCTTAGTTAGGACCCCTATTTACGTTGTGTTTGTTCAGTAACTTAGTTCTTTTAGGTGTCTTTTGGAAGAATGAATATTCACTAGCCTTATTCCACTCCCAGAGTCCCAATCTCGTTGCCGATTGTCTACAACTTTTGCTAGGTACCTCTCCAATGTCTAATTAAATCGTTCTACCATTCAATCAGATTGCGGGTGATAAGAAGTCGTTCTTATTTTATGAGTACCCATAACTCGGCAAGTTTCCTGGAATATTTGAGACTCAAAATTCCTTCCTTGATCGCTGCGAATCTCAAAAGGTACTCCAAAACGACAGAAGACTTCATGAACTAGTTTATCTACAACTGTTGAAGCTTCTTGATTTGGAGTGGCGAAGACTTCTGGCCACTTAGTGAAGTAATCCATCACAACCATGAAATACTCGTTACCGCTTTCACTCTCCGGAAACGGCTCCGCCACGTCAATGGCTATTCTGTCCCATGGTGCACCAACATTGTACAACTTCATTGCACCTCTACTACGATTCTGAGGTCCCTTTACAGTCGCACAACTTGTACAATTGTGACACCAGTCCTCGACATCGTTTCAACAGTGGACCCAGTAAAACCGTTCTCGGATCTTCAGTAGAGTTCGTTTAACTCCCAGATGGCCTCATGAACAATCATTATGGTACAGCTGTAGAACATCCGGTACTTTAGCTTTAGGGACAACCATTTGCAAATGACAGATGTCTCCCCGAACATTTTCCCATTTACGGCACAGAACTCCATCCTGAAGCAGCAAGCTGTCCCACTGGGCCCAATAGCTTTTAGTGGTCGAACTGATCGCTGAGACGTCGCTTCACTTGGTCTTGGGAGCACTGGCTTTCATCCATTGCAGAATCGGCTTGATGTCCGGATCTTCCTGCATTGCACGTTGTAAGCTGTCCTTTCACTCGTTGCTGAGGTGGTCTGTCCTGAGCATCCACACGGAAGTGGTCCTTACTCTCTTGCCTAGTACAATGTTTGCAATCCTCAGGACAAGGTCTTCTTGACAATGCATCTGCGTTGCCATGAGATTTTCCGCTGCGATGTTCGATCTCAAAGTCGTATTCCTGCAGTAGTTCAATCCACCTCGCAACTTCTCCTTCTGGATTTTTAAACTGCAATAGCCATTTTAGTGCAGCATGGTCAGTTCGGAAGTGAAATTTTCGCCCCAGAAGATATTTGCTAAAATGCTGCAACGACTTTACCACAGCTAGCAATTCGTGTCTTGTGACACAATAGTTCCTTTCCGGTTTTGACAATGACTTGCTAAAGTACGCTATCACGACCTCTTGGTCACCATTCCGTTGAGACAACTCACTGCCAAGATCTATATTACTTGCGTCTGTGTCAACTATAAATTCTTTGCTTGCATCAGGGTATCACAAAATAGGTGTTTTGCACAGACGGTCCTTGAGCTCCTGGAATGCAATATTGCAACTTTCATCACAGCAGAAATGTCGTTTCTCCTCGGTTAGCTTATGCAGAGGTTTGGCTATATCTGTAAAGTTCTTCACAAATCAAATCCTTGACAGCTGCGACTTTCTCCGGATCCGTGCGGATACCTTCTTCCGACACTACATACCACAAAAAGTTGACTTGCCATTTGAATAGTGAACATTTCTTCGGACTCAACTTGAGGTTTGCACTCTGAATCTTCGTGAGCACGCGTTCCAGGTTTTGAAAGTGTTCCTCAAACGTACGGCCCACGTTGATGATGTCATCCAAGTAGACCAGAACATCGCCAATTAGCCCGGTAAGTACAAGCTCCATCAGCCTTTCAAACGTTGCTGGAGCGTTGCACAATCCAAACGGCATTACTTTAAATTGCCACAGACCCTTTTCCTTAGATAACGCAATTTTTTCCTTGTCCTTAGGGTCAATTTCAAATTGCCAGTAGTGAATTTTTAGATCCACAGTGCTAAACCACTTTACTTCTTTAAGCATGTCCAGCGTATCATCAAT